AACGGGATCAACAAAGAACAGAGGCATCATCGATTTGGTTGTTTCCAATATGAAAAGAAAGACAAATTACAGAACTCACTTTTGATAATTTGGTCCATTTATATGACATTTAAATGTAAAAACGTGTCGCTTGAGGAGTTCCATATAAAGCCTATATGCTCCCGGACGAACTCGTCTACACGTAATGACTCTGCAAAAATGATGATGCCATGGTCAGACATTAACAAGCAAGCCTATATTTACACTTAAATCGATAATACTAATAGTACTTTACAGATCAAAAGGTGGTATAGAGAGTCCGAAGGTCCAAAACACTAGAGAATAACATCAGATCACACTGGCCATCAAGACTTAAAACATCGTAGAGGAATTAAACTCAAGAACACTAGAGAGCAACATCAAGGACCCTTACGACAAAACCCAATCTAATAAGTCCATCTTACCTTTCTCTGTTTTGCTTCTTTATTTCGATCAAATGAAATGAAGAACATCAAAATTTTAAAAGAAAAAAAAAACAAACAAACAAACAAACGGAATATCTCAGATGCCAAACAGTAAAAAAAATTAATAAAACAGAAGAATAGGTTTCAGTGAGAAAAAGAAACAGCTCCTCACATCAATCTCGAAATCACAATTAAGAGTTTTCCAAAATCAAAATATTCAAAAACGCAATTTGTAGAAAATCCAACAGCTAACATAAAACCAAGAAAGCAAAATACTTCAAAACAAATTGTGACAGTTCTCCCAACAAACACCGGCATAAACATCTCAGACACCACAAAAAGAAAATCAAAATCAAAAAACACGAACCTATCAGAGAGAAGAGCAAGAACAAGCAACGGAGGCACAATCTTCAGCGTGAGAGCCTTCTCTAAAAACTTCCAGAGTACGGGCACGTTATTATCCCAGCAAATGTACGACACCAGAACCTCCGCGAGCTCCGGCGAAGGGACGGCGACTCCGGCCGAGTTGAGAGCAGCGGATATCTGAACGGCCCAGAACAGAGGATCGCTGACCTTATCTTGCGCCGTCTTTGTGAGCTCAACGACGTCGTCCCATAAACTCCTGTGCACAGACAACGCCATTTCCCTATATCTCGGGGTCGATTAAAAAGAGGAAAGTTGCAAGATTCCAAGGTTTTAGAACAGAACAGAGGGAGTGGCAGTGAACAGTCCGGAGACCGGGGGGGGGGGGGGAGAAAGAGAGAGCTTTTGGATTCAATAAATGAATTTTTGGTTGGGGGAGTTTTTTTTGTATTAATTTTTCCTTCGGTGTGAAATGTTTGAAAGGTCAACTGCGTTGGGGGGGGGGGGGGGGGAGGGAAATGGAAATATAAAAATACGGCCGGGGGACGTGCATGTCTTTGCGAATTTCCATTTTGACCCCTCCATTTTTTCTTATATTTAGTTTTAAAATGGGAGGATACAATTGTCTTTTTAGAGCGGAGATCGGGGGTCAATGGTTTGTCTGTCCGGGGATTATCTGGTGAGGAGCCGTGGACGGTGCTACAGTGGGGACTCAAAATGCGACGTCGTATTTGGGTTTGAAAAAATAAAGGGTAGATTAGGAATTTTGAATCAGAGGAGAAGAGAAGAAAGAGAGATGACAGGCAGACAACATCCAAATATTATTTTGTGTGATTAAAATAAATATAAAATTATATTACATGAGATATTTTGTAGATTGATGGCCCCACGAATTGGATCACCAACCCACTTAAGAAAAAAAAAAAAAAAGGGGGACCAAAAATGGTTGCCAAGGGGTTTACGGTTCGGTCAAGTCCACTTTATCCTACCGTGACAAAAGAGGAATTATATCATTTTTCAAAAAATTATAATTGAAGAAAATCCAAAAATATATTTTCTTCATGTATATTTACATATATATATATTAAAATAATAAAAAAAAAAAAAAGAGAGAAAGGAAATAGTGGTTAGGGTTAGGTAAGGATGATGACTGACAGTGGAGGGTGTCCCCCAAATAAAAAATAAGTAAGCAAATAAATATAAAAATCCAAGCAAGATGGTGATTTCTCTCACACAGAGATTTAGGGTTTCAAATCATGCTTCATTATATATTTGAAAGAGAGAGGTGGTTTGAAATCTTTTTATGTTTCCCACTTTTATACTATATGCTTATTTTTTAGATTTACAAAATATTTGTGGGTGTCTAAATATTGAAGTTTAAAGCTAAATAGGTTGAGATTAAAAAAGTCAAAAATTAAAATACTAGAAGATAATAGCTTAAATTAAGATAAGATAAGATCAAACCAATAAAATAAAGTCATGATTTGTGTACAAGTTCAATCATACATAAAAATAAATATATTTTTCTATATAATTATTAACTAATTTCTTTTTCCTCAAAAAATAAGTAAATAATTATTTTTAAAGGGAAAAAAAAAAAAAAAAAAAAGTTGTTTGGAATTTACCAAATAAAAAATTATCCCGAGAATTTGTTTGGCAGCTTTATTCTGTTGGTACATGTGCATCAATATGGAATTTTTTTATTATTATTAATTTATTGTTTTGGTTTGATGGAAAATTCACCCGGTGTTTTCTCTTGATTTTATTGGGAAAAGTTGGTTTGGGAAGAGATCATCGAATCCCATGGGAGGCAAGTCGATGTGTACAAATGATTATGAAGGTTTTTAGGGTTAGGTCAAATGTTACGGTCACACCAAGAGATTCACCATGTGGGCATCAATAATTTGTTGTGATTTAACTAAATGGTGGTTAATTAATCATATTTAATTAAGATAATCTAGAAAAATAAATAAATTCATTACAAAATTACCTAATTTATTTTGTCAATTTTTCATGTGTTAAAAGCTTTTATTATGGAACCGAAAATACTTTTTATTATTTGTTATTGTCATTTTATAAACTTTTTTTTTTTTTTAATAAAAAAAAAAGGGTAATAAAATTCTCTAGAGTTGCTTAATGTGTGTAGTTATGATTTGATATTGAGGGAGAGCTCTACCTAAAAAAGCAAGACGGCAAAGGCAAGCAAAGATGGGTTGGTACGGCGAGCTATCATCAACCCATTTTAGTTATTTAAGACCCTTTCTCCTTTGTCTCTACGTACGTTAATTAATTACACTTAAAAATTAAATATATCTTTTTTTTTTATAATTTAAAATTTATAAATTAAAAATTATTAGTATATAATAAATCATAATGTTAAAGTAATGATAGTACTCAGACAAAAATCACGATAACATATTTAATAAGAAGTGGATCTAAGATTCCTCAAATTGTCTTCTCTTACGGAACCCTAATTAACGTTAATCTAAATTAAAAAGAAAATTAGTAGAAGAGAATATCTTGCCAAACATCATGTTGCAGAACGTTTACAACATTTATATTTAAGTAATAAGGGCAAATTATATATATATATATATTTTTTCTTACAATTTAAAACATTAAAAAATATATATATATATTTTATAAATTGATAAAGTCTATTTTATAGTATGTATATATATATATATATATTACGAGAATAAAAGTACAGAGAGAAGGAAGAACTTTCTTTAAAATACAAATAAAATAAAATAAAAATAAAAACAGGATGATTATGACGTGTGACCTATTAATGATGAATTAACACGTGTATATATAAATATAAATATAAATACATATAACTGTAAGTAATGATGGGCTTCCATCTCATCTAAATAATTTTGGACTATATGAATTATTAATTATTAAAAAGACAGATAATGATGAATTGGAG